TAATAATAATAATAATAATAATAATAATAATAATAATAATAATAATAATAATAATAATAATAATAATAATAATAATAATAATAATAATAATATAATAATAATAGTTTGTGGACTAAATTAAAATTTTGCAAATATGTTAATGCTTTGTTGTTTGAATTCTTTTTATTTTGATTGTTTGTTTGTTGTGAGTTGGTTCTTCAAAACGCATTATATTTATTTGTTTCTTTTGTTAAATTTAAATTGACTTTCTAAAAATAATAATAAAAAGAATAATTAAATATTATTTTTTTTAGGAAATAAAAGTATTAAAAGATATAATTATAATTATCTTTGAGTATTTTATTAATTAATAATCTTTTTATAATTTATTTTGCATTCATTTTTTTGTGTTAGGTTTAAGTTTCACAATTTTCATCTTTTATTTTAATTTTTTTCAATATATTTAATTTTACCTTGTTCTTTTGTCTATAAATAAAGAATGTCTAATTGATTCTAATCATCAAAACCAAAAGAGAGAATGGCAGCTTCAACATATTTATCTTTGTTATTCACCATTTCCATTTTCTTTATTTCTCATGCCACTTCACCAACATCAAACCCCTAAGTTGTATCAAAATGTATGTAAACAACCTGATAAAACAGACTTCGAACAACGTTGTCTGAAACTCATTGAATCCTACCCTCCACTTACTCAGATCAACGATCGTCTAACCTTTTGCAGGTCATTTGTAAAGATGGTAGCAATAGAGAAGACAACAAAAGCACAAGAATACGTTAAACAAATGATGAACCAATATCCTTCTTCTCAACCAATCAAACTATGTGCAACTGAGAAGTATGATACGTTGATAAACCAATTAAAAGGTGTGTTGATTGAAGATCCTGACATTATAGACATGAAGGCCAAATATGCTGCCGATGCACTTGACGAATGTGAAACCGCTTTAGCCGGTGAAAAGATAGTTAATGTTTCCTCCATTTATACCTTGAATAACAACATGATGTTACTTGCTGACATTGTAAGAATAACAGCATCAAACATATAAGTCTTTAAATCAATAAAATAAATAAATGATTTTATGTTATTTGCATCTTGAGATTTCAACAATTAGCTTAGTTCTTATCACTAACTCTCCAACACAAATGTAATAAATAAATTAAAAATAATTATAAATTAGTTGAACATTCTTGTCTAATTGCATTCATTTAAAACATTTTTGTACAATTGTATAATTCAATCAATGTTTTGAGAATCAAATTGTATCACACGGTCGAACCAATAGAACTAGAAATTGAAAGGGTCATCGGTCTTGTCGGGACTTATTGTTAGAACGGATATGATAATGAACCAGGGGGAAAAACATTAAAACAGTTTTGTTCAAACAATTTTGTTCCTCCTATTTTAAAATAAAACAGTTTTAGTCCCCTTTCATGTTTTCATAGAAAATCAATGAGATTTTTTGTTTTTTAACTTATATTTTTATTTACAAAGTTAAATAATAGATTTATATATTATAATTTATCATATTTTACAAGTAATTTATGGTTTAAAAAGTAAAAACTTTCTTAATTTTAAGTGCAAAAATATGAGAGAGGGATCAAAACGGTTTAAATCTAAAATAGAGACATAAATTATTTAAATTTAAAATAGGAAGATCAATTACATGAATCAGGGAAAATAGAGGAACCAAAACTGTAATTAAATCATTTAATAAATATATGATTTTGTTATAGAGATTAATGTATTCAACTAAATTATTCAATTTAATTCGATTTACTCATGCAGTAGGAATAATGACCTAGTAATTTGACCAAGAAATCAATGACTCACCCTTATCAATTTGTTAATCGATCTGAATTTGTAAATATTAATAAAAAGAAAACTAGGTCATTATATATATATATATATATATATATATATATATATATATATATATATATATATATATATATATATATATATATATATATATATATATATATATATATATATATATATATATATATATATATATATATATATATATATATATATATATATATATATATATATATATATATATAAAGGAAAAAGAAAAAATTGATGTGGCTATAGCCATAATCTACTTAAGTGTGGATCCGTCCATGATGTTTTTGTATAATTACCAACTGAGTTAAATAAATATAATTTTATAAAAAATAATGATAGTTCCGATTTAGAAATTATTTTATCTTATTATTTTAAATTGTAATATATATTTTTATCTATATTTAAATATCAAAGAAAAGTCTAGTTTTAGTGTAACTTTTTTTCTTTAAATTTAAAATTTTAATTGATTAAAGAAATAAAGGAATTTAATTATAATTTAAAATTTGATCTATTATTGATTACTTTAACTAATTAACTTTTTTTTTTTAAATTTTCTTCTTTTATATGTAAAAAAATTATATAGTTTAGCTTATATATAAAAACAAAAATGGAAATTTAAGAGAATTTAGTAATATTCCTCTAAGGAAAAATATCCAATCATATTAAGTAATATGTGAAAGTAATATTAAATAATAATAATAATAATAATAATAATAATAATAATAATAATAATAATAATAATAATAATAATAATATTTTATAGATTAAATTCAAGTTCTGTAAATACGCGATTGAATTCTTTTTATTTTGATTGTTTGTTTGTTGTGAGTTGGTTCTTCGAAACACCTTGTACTTATTTATTTCTTTTGTTAAATCTAAATTGACTGTTTAAAAATAATAATAAAAAGAATAATTAAATATTATTTTTCTTTAGGAAATAAAAGTATTAAAAAATTATTGTCTTTGAGTATTTTATTAATTAATAATCTTTTTATAATCTATTTTGCATTGATTTTTTTGTGTTAAGTTTAAGTTTCATAATTTTCATCTTTTATTTTAATTTTTTTTAATATATTTAATTTTACCTTGTTTTTTTGTCTATAAATAAAGAATGTTTAATTAATTCTATTCATCAAAAACAAAAGAGAGAATGGCAGCCTCAACACATTTATCTTTGTTGCTCACCATTTCTATTATCTTTATTTCTCATGCCACTTCACCAACATCAAACCCTAAGTTGTATCAAAATGTATGTAAACAACTTAATAAAACAGACTTCGAACAACGTTGTCTGAAACTCATTGAATCCTACCCTCCACTTACTCAGATCAACGATCGTCTAACCTTTTGCAGGTCATTTGTAAAGATGGTAGCAATAGAGAAGACAACAAAAGCTCAAGAATACGTTAAACAAATGATGAACCAATATCCTTCTTCTGAACCAATCAAATTATGTGCAACTGAGAAGTACGATACGTTGATAAACCAGTTAAAAGGTGTGTTGATTGAAGATCCTGACATTATAGACATGAAGGCCAAATATGCTGCCGATGCACTTGATGAATGTGAAACCGTTTTAGCCCGTGAAAAGATAGTTAATCTTTCCTCCATTTATACCTTGAATAACAATATGATGTTACTTGTTGATATTGTAAGAAAAGCAGCATCAAATCTATAAGTCTTTAAATCAATAAAATAAATAAATGATTTTATGTTATCTGCATCTTGAGATTTCAAGAATCATCTTAATTCTTATCACTAACTCTCCAACACAAATGTAATAAATAAATTAAAATAATTATAAATTAATTGAACATTCTTGTCCAATTGGATCCATTTAAAACATTCTTGTACAATTTATAATTTAATCAATATTTTAAGAATCAAATTGTATCAGACGGTCGAACCGATAGAACTAGGAATTGAACGGGTCATCGGTCTTATCTGGACTGATTGTTAGAATGAATATGATAACGAACCAGTGGGGATTGGTTAGAATCAGCTAAAACCGGTGAATCGGAAGGGTCACCGATTTTATTTTTGAATTTAAAGAAATAACTTTTGAAAATTTATATGTATTGTGCTATTTTTAATCCGAATCTTCCGATTGACCAATTTAATTAATATATAATTTTGTTTTAAATACTGATTTATTCAATCAAATTTTTCAGTTTAATTTGATTTAATTACGCGATTCGATTAGAAATTCAATGGTTCAACAAATGAATCAATTACTCAATATCATATTAGTTTAGTAAACATTACATTAAATTTAAATGGATAGATAAGAACAATTAAAAAAAGAAATGTCATTTAATTCAAATCAATTTTCATATTAGATTATTTTATGAAAATTAAAAATTAAAAATGATTTTTGACTAGTAATCTGTGTTCAACCAAAGCTTTTGTAACAGAGTTTACCTTTTGAAAATATCTCTCAAAAAATTATTTAAATGCACGTATTAATATCGAAAAATAGGTGAACATCAAATTTAAATTTGTAATTAGCTTTAAAAATAAAGAGAATAAATTATTATACTACTCTTTTTTTTTCGGGTACATATTATACATTTTGCTAATGTGACAAAGAAAACAAGTAATTAACTATTAAATTAAATTCTATTTAATGAAAATCAATCATCATATCAAAATTTTCTTTACATTATCAGTTGACATAATTATATAATCATATAATATATTCTATTATCAGAAACATTAAAAGATAAAATCATATAATATATTCTATTATTAAAAATATTCATAGTCATTTAAAAAAAAATAACATTCTCAAAATAGTGATTTTTTTCTAAAAATGAAGATTATTCAATAAAAATTAAAATTAACCTCAATTATTCACAGATTTAACTTAAAAAATTAAAAGATTATTTTTCAAATATATTATATTAGCAAAAGATTAAAAATCAAGCTTTATGTCTATTGCTTTCAATGGCTCTACTCATGGTTACTTTCTGACTGATAACATCTATTGGGTTCTTGAAAATGGCAATAGAATTAAGTTTTGGAGAGTGATAATATATAATGCTGATTTTTTATTATTCTCCATAATATTTTAAATAAATCTATGATTATCATGATAAAAGTTATTTGGTATCGAGAATTCGGTAAAATAATACTAAAAGACTCCATAAATAGAAAAGAAATAGAAAGATTATATTTGATAATAAAGATTTTTTTAAGTTGATTTCTAATACTTTCGGTAATCTAATATATTAAGAAAAAATATCTTTTTAAAAAAATAAAAAAGAGAAGAAGATAGCAACCAAGGTAGAATATATAGTATTTTTTCTTAATGAGTTTTTATTATTGAATTTTCTTTTTGTATTTTGATATTTTGATATTTTAATTATAAATTTATTTTAACTTAATAACTTAATCATTTAATGTTTTAATAGTTTAATCTTAAATTTGAAGCTATAGATATATTAATAAAGATTAAAGATTAAATAATTAACCTATTAAACAAATGAAAATTTAAAATTATATCAATCCTATACTATACAAAAACCACTTAGAAAGCAATGTGAAAATACGTTAAAAAATGAGGGCTAAACTTAATAATAAAATTTTTTAATGAATTGAAAATTGAAATTTTTTAAAAATTGATTAAAAAAAGTTTATATACTTATAGAAATCTAAAAAAATATAAAATTCAATTATTTTCCAGAGAAAAAGGGGGGCCTGAGCGCAAAGACAAAACTAAAAGCAAAAAACTTTTAGGAATGCTAATTCTTAATATGGAATGGTTTCGTACATACCCTAACTAAAGGCTGGAAGTTTTAAACTGCCACATATCAAACCATTCCCCTCTTATACTTTCTCAACCTGAGTATACTCCAATGGCTTACAGACAACAATCTCGGTTCAAATTTATGAACAATGTAGTTATTCATAAGGATTTCAAACAGGTGGTTGAAAATAGTTGGAAGCATAGAGTTGATGGCAAACTTATGTATGTGTTGTGGAGAAAATTGAAAAGGCTTCAACCTTTATATAAACGTATTTAAAAAAAGGTAGATATTGAACTAACATAAAAATTATAAAAATTTCTATACTATAAAAGCTGCAGCAAAGTAGGGCATGATTGTGAGAAGAGAAACACTACTGGTCAGGTGAAGAAAGTTTGGACTCATAAATCACAACAACCACAAGTCAAAGAGCCCGAGTCCCCTAAATAGA